CGTGTGAGCGAGGCATCGCCAGCACGGCGGACCGCCTCCAAGCCCGACTCCACCAGAGGGAGCGCATCAAAGTATCGCTCTCCGCCTACGCTGACCTCGAGGGCGATCCCGTGCACCAAGTCCACTAGGTGCTGGAGCGGCACGAAAGCGGGGTGAGCCACTGGGTCTGGAACGGGAGGCCCTTGCGCCGGATTCGCAGGGGCAACCGCCGGAGCGCCGACGTCGACGACGGTGGCGGAAGAGCAAACCCCAAACCGACATATCGGATTGGGCACGAGAGGCGAAGCGATCGGTCGCTTCACCATTAATGAGCATTAATGCGCCTGCACAGTCTTGGCTGGCAAGCATTTGGGCCCACTGACCGACACGTGACAGGAGTTTTCGCCCGCGGTTGGAACTCCAATTTTCGGACGAATTCGCTACTGCTCAAACTTCGCCTACAGATCAAACTCGCCAGGCGAATCGAGTCGGGTTTCCAACACAAGTCCAACACTATACGGGTTTCGCCCGCAACATAAACTCGCCAGCCGTTGAATTCCGCTTCTAAGCGAAACTCGCCGGCAAATGAGTTCAGTCCTCTACTCGAATTCGCCAACAGTTGAGTTTAGCTTCCAAGCAAAACTCGCTGCGATCAAGTCTCGCCGACAAACAAACTCGTCAACCAATTGAGTTTCACCTTACCAGCAATTCGAATTCGTCAGGGGCCGAGTTTCACCATCTCGGCGAGCTCGACGTTGCCCTGGTTTCGCCGGTAGCATAAACTCACCAGAGTAGAGTTTAACTTCGAAAGTGGGCTGATCACCGCATGAAGGACTTCACCCGCGATACGAGATCACCTGCAATTACAGAGCAAAACACTGGAAAGCGACACATCCAAAGAGAATACACACAATGAGTGGGCACAAACCTCATTGATACTTTAAGACAGTACATTTGAACAAAGTTATGGTCTTTTTGCAATTGCGAAAGTCATAATGACATGTTCAAAAAAGCAAAACATACACCCAGTGTTTCAAGACAATACATTTGAACAAAGTTATGACTTTACGAGTCATGGCATAGTTCCAAATGCAAAACAAGCAGGCAAAATGTCTTAATACAATCCTGAGGCAGAAGTCTCAGTCGAACACGCTGAAGGTGGAAATCTCCTCTTTGACCGCCTCAACCTGGCTCGCGTGGTCTTCCCGAGCCTTGTTTTCAGCAGCTTTCTGAATTCGATCTTCGCGGTTCGACATGGCGGCAGCATCTGTCTGACGCAAAGCCAGCAGGCGCCGAGTCTCCGCCTCAGCGTGCTCGTTCACCTTAACAACGTCGGATTGGAGCCCCTTCCACTTCGCCTCCGCCTGTCCCAACTCGGCCCTCAGGCGAGCCATGGTATGGTTGAGGTCAATGACTTGCTCCTCTAGCAAACGTTGTTGGCTCACCCAAAAGTTAGCCGCAGACTCCGAATCCGCTATCTCTTTGGAGCGGGTTTCCTGTTCCAGGGCTTCCTGACGTCTGAAGTGAGCTAGACAAGATGCCATTTTGACCTCCGGGCCCCCCCCGTAGCAAGTCCTCTAGCACCATCATGCGTGGCTCCAAGAGACGGAGTTCACGCACGCAACGGGTAGCGAGATGGTTTTCACCTGATCGCCGTAAATCGGCCACGCGATCATAGAGGGACTGCCTGAAACTGTCAAAGCTACCCATGTACCCATACCGAGTTCGACGAGGGAAATTGTCTGCCTTACAGCGCCTTCGAACTCTTCAATACGGGCCTGCCATGGTTGAGACTCGGAGGGAACAGACCTCTGGCCTGGAGCGAGCGCCGTGATGGGAGGAATTTGGAGGCAAGGTTCGGCTCCCGGCTGGGGAGCGGGATCCGAAGCAGCGGAATTCGCACGGCCTTCAGATTCATCGTCTGAAATCAGAATGGGCTCAGCCGCATGCTCCTCGGCAGCCGGCACCTCCTCTCGACCTGTAAGACGCAACAAGCGATACAGGGAACAATTGGGGGAGGAATACCTACTAAACTCACACGAAAGTCGAAGCAAGAAGATACCTTCAGCCGCGACGGCTTCGGCAGCACCTGAAGAACCAGGCTCTTTCCTTTTCTTGGAAACGACTCTCTTCACCTTCGGCGCCATTGGGAGTATGAGGAAGAAGAAGTTCGGGTTTACTCTGAGGAAGACGATAGGCCCTCTTGAGGAAGAGTTAGGGTGTTAAATACCCTAAGAGTCCTAGGCGGTTACTCAGTACTTGATTAGACCGTTCAAGGTTAAAGCAGTTAAAGAGTAAGACCGAACAGATCGGATCTGGACGGACAAGATCTGGCAGTTCCTTGAGCACGATCTTCAACAAACGGCTCAAATCGGACGTGGGGAACGAAGAGGCCCACTACCTCGCATTTAATGCGAGGCGGCTATCCCACGTCTCCTTAACCGGCGTACACGTGGATTAACACGTGGCCCGCTAAAAGCGTAACCCGATCAGAGTCAGGATCGCCATTAGCATTTGCAAATCCGCCTACGGGCCGAATTCGCCTGCAATCGAAATAAACCTACAGCGCAAATCAATCGATGATAATCCCGCTGCAGTTGAGGTCCTCTTGCGGCCAGATTCTGACCAATGCATGGTTACGAAAATGGCACACGCACACAAGTGACAATAGGCCAAAAACAAAAGGGAAAATTTCATTCATGAAAAAGAAGTCCTATTACAAGCAGAAAACTAAAGGCGAACTACAGGGATTTCAACTTCAGTTCCGCCTCACGAATTTCTTCAGCATGGCGAAGCTCAAGCCTTCTCAGGACCTCTCGACGAATATCTTCCTCCGTGCATGAGATCAAATCCTGAATAACCTCCCTGACATCCTTGAGAGCTCGATCCTTCTCTGCAACAGAGCCAGCGGTCAATCGCCGGCGAGACTTTACGCCCTCCAATTCCTTTGCCACGTGATCGCGAGCCTTCTCTTGAACGGCCAGGGCAGCCTGTGCTTCGGCTACAACCTGTTTCAGCCTCTCTACTTCGAAGGAAAGTCGGGAGAACTGGTTATCGACCGTTTCTTCCTCGCGGGCCACTTGTGCATCCTCGGCTCTGACCTGCTCCGACTCTGCCGACAGTTTTAACTCTAACGTCATGTTCTCGTTCAGGCGGCGATCACGATCCGCCAAAGCTACTCGAACTTCACGGGAGGCGAGATCAACAAGAGTGGAACTCTCCGCACGAAGAGCGAGCAGCTGCCGAACAGCCCCCTCCACTTCGTTCAGACGCTGAAAATAGGGCCTCGCCGCGGCGGCGCCGAGCCTCTTACGCAAGAAGGACGCATCGTGTTCAAGAACTTCCCTGAATTCTTCGAAGGGGCAATTCTCCTCCAAGACCAGCCGGGTGCAGTGGGCCAAAGTATCTTCGAAATTCGCCAGAGCTCGCTCCACCTGCGTTTTTCGCCAGCGTTCCAAGGGAGAGAGGGCGACCTCCTCCGCCGTAGACGAAATCACGGTCGAGGTGCCTATAGCCATAACCGTAGAAGTGGTAACGGGCACCACCGGAGACGGTGCGACCAATGACACCCTCGGTGCAGTGGTCACAACGTCAACGGCCGCCGTCGACGGAGAAATGGTCACCTGCAGAATGGGGGCCTCCCGTTGAAGCGGAGATTCTCGCGCCGATGAATGACCCCCAGCCAACGCTTCCATAGGAGCAGGAGATCCCCCTATTCGGCCAGGCGCGTCCTCAAGCGCCAAATCCTCTGCCTCACTGGACAATGCCTCGTGAACTGAGATATTGTCATCCTCCTCAGATTCGCCCGCCTCAGATGAGCGATTCGCCCAAGAGTGAGGATCCTCCTCACCTGCGACTTCACGGTTAGGGTCAACTACAAATGCACAGAAAGAGGTTAACAGAGACCCCTCGAAAGGGACCCTACTAACAGTCGAGTACGGGAAGAAAAGTGATGCTAAAACACACACTTACCCGAGCCGGTGGGCCCCTCCTCATCTTTAGCCTCCCCTTCCTCGTCGGAAGGAATGTGGATCACCTCCTCAATCGCACCTGCATAGGTCCAATACCAATGTCAAAAGGTATGAGATCATCGTTGCGATCAAAGACGCTATTGCAAAAGAAAAATTACCCCCTGATGCGGACACAGAAGCCGCTGGAGCTCCCGTCGGTAGCCTCTCGCCAGATCGCGGAGGAGCGTCTCGTAGTCGCCAGGAGGAGCGTCTCTCGTAGTCGCCAGAGCCGCCCCCGATGCAGCAGAAGAGACGGGCAGCACAACTCCAGACGTCGCCGCTCCGGGGATACCCACCTGGGGAACATCATCCTGACCTTCCGCCGCTCGGACGGTTTCCGCCATCTCATCACGACGGACCTTCTTAGCCGCCCCCGCTCGGGAACTCTCGGCCACTGCCTCCCGCTGACGCTTCGAGAGGAGCGAGCTACTCGGAGACAGAAGCGGCGCCCCCATTTGTCCGATTGTCGGACTCTGGACTGGAGCTCGAATCTATGGAGCCTCAGATTCGTCCAAACCAGCATCAAAACCCTCGGAATCCTCAACTGGATCCTCCGAGAACAACTCCCTAGCGGTTTGGTGGCCCCTTCGCCTCGAAGAACGGAGAGGACCCCAGACAGGACGATTGCGTTCCGCCAGACATGAATTCTGGAACCAGAAATTGGCAGGATTAGCACTAGCGCCCCGATACCAGCGGCAGTATAGGAGCATGTGGTGTAAATCGCGATCCCGCGCGGGTAGCTCAAAACGAGCCTGGGTGCCACCAGCATGAGTCCAGAACCATCCCCGAGCGCCATCCACCAGTCCTCCTTCAAAGCGCAGGTGGGGGTTGGCGTTGCCCACATACAATTGATCATACCCGAACTAGCGAGCAAACCTGCAGGGGGTGTATGGCTCGAGATAGCATGTAGAGCCGGTTCTCAGAATGTGATACCCCGGTCGGATATTCACCAACCAACGAAAGGCACCGCGAGTAAGGACCGTGTAGTGATCCGCCGTCGGAGCATCCCTGAGAATTTCTCCATACCCACCCCCACTGAAATAAGGGAAGAAGCGGCGAAAATTATAATGCCCGAAGTGGGAGAGCGTCTTCCTTGCATCAGGGATGTCCTTGCATTTCCAAGAGCACCTCTCCAAGCGCTGGACGAAGGGGACAAACTTATCGCCCTGAGGCGCCGCCGGGGCGCTCATCAAACATTCGCAGTGGTATACGAACCACGCCATCAAGTAGGTGTACGGTAGTCCCACCCTAGGATTGGGAGTCTTGATAACTACTCCTTCCCCCTCATCAAGGACCGACACACGGCAGAATTGGGCCGTCAGAGTGCGGAGCCCTCGGTGAATGCACGCTATCGTCGCCGATACCAGGGAATAAGACTTCCCGTGAGCTAGGCAAACCGCCGGATACACGACCTCCACAGGAAGAGCCTCAAAGGAGTGAGTGGGGATTACGCACCTCTTCAGCCATAACATGAGGTACCCCGCGAGCAGCGCCTTCCCCGAGATGAGAAACTTCGCCTGATGATGGAATGAGTGAAAGACAGTACCAGACTTAAACCCGCCCTCGTCGCGGTCAAGAGTCAGAGTGCTTCCTTCTTTAGCTGCCCTCGCCTCCACTTCAGACTGGTCGCACGCGCCTAACGGGAGAGCGGGAATCCCCTTGACATCGTTCCCCGGGAACAGGTAATCAGCCCAATTCTTGTGGCTGATCCCCGGGGTCTTCTTCTTCTTCCCCTTGTGATCCGAGTGAGGCAGATGTGGTAGTGGCAGAGTAACTCCCACAGAGTTTCAACCGCCAAAGGAGAATGACTCGACAGCTGATCGATCTCATCTTGATCGGGGACGTACTCCTCGTAAGGGAAGTCTCCCAGGGGCAACCCCGACACGTCGTACATCTCGTGAGGGGTGATACCAAGCTCGCCATTGGGGGTGAAAAATGTGCCGTTTTCCGCGCAATACAGTTCCAAGATACTATGGAACTGAGAAGCGTTGATCCGCAAGCCGTGTCGAGTGGCTTCGATGGCCACATACAGCTCTGTGCCCTTGAGATCAGCATTTTCGGCCAGAACATAGTCGGTGATCTTGGACCACCACGTGTCGCTGCCGGGTGCAGAATAGACCCACCCCGGGGCCCTAAAGTCCTTAGGGGGAAAGCTTCCACCAGCTCGAAAGAAGCGGTGACGGAAGGTCTCCGCCACCGCTGTCGACTCCCCCACGGGCAAAAATTGAGGCTTCGGCAGCTCTGCCCTGTCCTCATCTGTCAGCACCGCGTTGGTCGTCAACTCGCGTAATGTCAAGTGATGACCATCCGTGACCCTCTGTACCAGACCGTGCGGCTTATCAGCGGTGAATACGGGCATTGGAGCCAGAGAAGGAAATCGAGAAGGCGCCGTATAATTCGTAGCCCCGGCGTGGCCAACCGCCACACCCTCCGGGAGAGCCTCATCGGAGAAGGTCGCTGCAACAAGAAATAAAAAGTCAATTGAAACAAAATCCGCTGTAGGGGCGAAATCGCCCATCGACCAGAGGAGGGCGAAATCGCCTATCGAAAGGGGGAACCCATTTCGAACGAGGTCTATCCGTACAGCCTGCACTCCCCTCTAATGGGAAAGGGCCGAACTCGCCTTACGAAAAGGGAGTTCGCCTCCTCCCCACTGAAGGATTCGCCTGCAGGGACAGTACACATCGTCTAAAGGCAAAATAGGGCAAACTTTGCCCCAAATCGGGGAAATGAGTAACACTCATCTTCCTAAAATCCGACGCCTAAGACTTACAAGAGATCATCTAACGAACCCATCAACGTACCTGGGCGCGATTCCAGAGCACCGGCAGGCATGCCGGCGGAGAGACGGTCGGAATAACGTCCGGGGCCCGCGCCCCTCACTTTGCACCTCTTAGATTTCGGAGCCATTGTAGGATGAAGCGGGAATTCTTTCCTTGGAGGTTCCTTTTAAGATTTGAGGGCACGGTAACTCCCAATGGAGGAAAATGGCTGATTTAGAAGGGCGGAGTTGTCCACGTGGCCACGACTGCCCTCGAAAAGCGAAAACCCTAACGGACAGAGGACGTGGCCACGATCAAGTTCGACGGCTCAGATCACCCTCGGTATATCGAAAGAACCGAGGTTGGCGGCTACATCCGACGGTTGAACCCGAAAACCACGGCCACGATGCGTCATGGGGCGAAACACACGAAATCGTGTTGTCGAACCACGATCGCCGCGACCCAATGGGACCGCGCCGCCTTAGCTGGGAAGCACAAGGCCCTATCAGCTGACACGTGGCTCATCTCCCGTCAGATCTGGGCCCACCTCAAAAAGGAAGGGTTTCGCCTGCAAATACTTGGCATGACCCCGCGAGCTGCGCGAAATTTGGCTCCCAAAGACTAATTTCGCCTGGGCAACTCGCTCGCCACTAAAGGTAAAATCATAAACAAAGTCGACAACTCATCATACTGAGAGGAATAGTATGGCTAGCCCGATTCAAACGGTAATTGGTAAAGGCACATCAAACCCGTTGATAGCTGAGGATTTGCTAAAAATCCTAAAAGAAATCAAGTGCGCTTACTTCGCCGAAAATTTCTTCATTCAAAGTATTCCAGACCACACGCGAGCCGGTTTAGGTCTGAAAACTTTGAAGGGGGTCTTGTAGACGGTAAAAAATACCTCTATAGGCTCACAGGAAATTCGCCTGCGAAAAGAGCTCGCACGCCCGGTTCTCTGGCACGGGCCTAAATCGCATGGACATCGCACATGCTCGATTCTAAGTTCGCCTTACGGTCGGCTCGCCAGCACGAGTTAAGATCGATTAGGATGGCGGAAGTTCGCCTTTCACTCAACTCGCCTGCCCGAGTCCAGAGTCGAATCCGCCAGCAAACCCCAAGACCGTCAGTACAGCTGGGTATCCACTACCTCACGTGCTGAGATGGACCTTCCCATCTCTCTCGACCCGAAGTGAGAGAGAGCACAGTACCCCAGGACCGTCAAACGGCCGCCCACAGTGCGCACAGCGCGAAGGACTGGACAGGTGTCGAGTCAACCTGAGCATTCATAAATGCGACTCACCTCGGATGTCTGAGCCAAGAGCTGGATCCGCCGGCACTCGGCAAGCTGGCTAGACCCACTCGAGTACTGTACACCTACTTCACCGCCTCTCCTGACCGGAAAGGAGGAAGCACCGTGCTCAAAGCACGCCGGGCGGTCACGCACAGTACAAGTGATCGGACAGACACTTCATCGATCTGCGAACTCATAAATGCGGTTCATTAATGCTGGTCAAATCCACTCGGATAGCAGTCGTTCGTTGCCTCATATACAAGAATGGGCCTTCCCATCGTAGGTGACAGGACATAAAGCACAATCCCTGGAATGACCATTCATGGTATCGAGGAACGGCGAGACGTCTCTGAAGAGGATGTGGTCACATCCCACAATTCAAGGAGAAGTCAAGCTGTCCTTCTTCCATTTAAAAAACCCCTTCCAGCACACTGGAGGAGAGGTCGCAAAACTTGGAGAAAAAGAGTTGAGACCAAGCTGTTAGCAGATCCTTGCATTACAGCACCGCTACCTGGTTCCGAGCTCCGATCGCCGACGAACTAAGTAGACCCGAACTCTATTACCCCGAGCTTCTACTGCGAACTGAAGCTCTCCAGCAACCTCATTCAAACGGTCCAAGGGAAGCAGACTCGACCCGAGCATCGAGCGAAGCGTCCTATAGCCACCTAAAGTCCCCACACAAAACAAAGAGGGCCTTCCCTCTGCTTCTGTTGTAAACATTTGATTTGTTAGTTTGTAATAAGCTTTCTTATAAATACAAACGAAACTCCTTTCTTCGGAAGAATCAAATTTTCACCCTACATAGAGTGTGATTTAGGATTGAGTGATTGAGAGATCTCCACATTATATCCTTTGCAATTTCCTAACGTTATTCTCCTCCTTCGCCCGTGGACGTAGGCTACAAGCCGAACCACGTATACCCTTGTTTTTTGAGTTCTCGATGTTTTTCAGTGCTTTTCGTGTGTCTGATATTAGTTTATTCTTAGGAATTGGTCTTAATAGTATTGAGGAAGAATGGGGTGCTTGGCTGTTTGGATCATTAGCACATTCTCACCAAAAGATTATAGGAAATCTAGAATTGCTACATGAATTCTATATCATGATTGTCACTAGCGAATTAAAGACCTGCAGAAATTCCATGCACATTTCTATCTCAACTGGGGAGTGACAGTGTTTATACATAAAACAACAGGAAGCAACAAATTACACACCTTTGATTACTCGACCACGACCAAGCTTAAACTTAATTGGCTCACCCCTGTCATAGCTGGAATCAAAAACTGTTCCATCTGTGAGCATCCCCTGAAACATGAAGAAACTCTAACGAAAATGAACTTAAAAGGCTCTGAAATGAAAATCCAGAAAAACAGTTGACAATTACTCCTCTGCATAATTGGAACTAACTTTATGCTCACAAATATTATTGTGTTTTTCAGGAATCTTTAGGGCTTACTACATGTTGCTCAAAAATATATAGGTCTCTTGAGCTTGACTTAGGTTGAACTCAAATATGAAAGCCTCAAATACAGAATAAGCTACCACACATGTAAAATACCTGAATAAAACATTGGTTTCCCCCAAAATGAGAAGAAAAGATTACCTTTTTGCTATGATAGTTGCCAATAGGAAAAAATACATCAATGTGGATTATTTTATAGAATGCTAAAGTCAGCATGCCTCAATAGAACACGAAGAAGAAATTAAATTTAAAAAACCAAAGGAATTGTTTATGTTTATAAGGATTATGTGGCTGCAAAGATGATTAGATATCTTATCTCGTATATGTGTTAAGATGTGCATTTTTCTCTCTTTTATGAATTATAGAATTATTTGTCATAAAAGTTTCAACGTCTACCTTTATGGTGGAATTATCTATAAAGGTCATACTAATTGAATTTGATATCAATCCCGATCGAGTCAACTAGTCAGATGCCCAATATATTGCTTTCGGTGCAATGATATTAATTTACTTGCAAAATAAATAAACCTTAACAAGTTAAAAGGAAAACCAAGCATAACTATTAAAAAAAAACTTTCATTTATTCAAGAACTTGGCAGCAGTATTGGTTCTTCTATAATTTATTATCACAAAAACTAGAAGGTGGAGGTTTTTTTGCAGAAAAACAAATTATATTTATTATGGTAATTGAGTCAGGTCATACACCAAGAAAAAAAACGGAAAGGAAAAAACCTTGCCCAAGACAAAATGGGAAAAAAACCATCCAAATGTCAAGTAAAATTATTTTCTCTGATTCTGTGTGTCTGTGTTGCGCTGATCAAAATTTGAAAAACGAGCATAGCAGATTGAAAAGTACTAGAGGTTTTTCAAACATAAAAGAGTCAAAAATGGACGTACAGATCTATAATTCATCTGAAATCTTGTTCACAGTAAAAGACCATAATCTATCAAAAATTTTACTGATTAAAATGTCATGACTTAGTATTAACTTACATCGTAATGCACTTGTATTCTGTCACCGTTTTGAGCTCGGATCTCACAGGACTTTGGCTTGTACTGCAACCACATATTTATCTTTTGTAGATTAGGATACTGTGAAAGACTCGATAATTTCTATTATAGATTAACTTTACGATGCCTGTGTTAGAGTAGGAGATAAAAGATGAATAACCCTGAAGTAGAACTTAAAGCACCTTTCTGAGGATGCAAACTTTGATCGGATACATGCAAACTAAATAGTCCACAATTAAAAATTGTATTGTCTCGTTGCTAGTAAATTGTGAGGATCTAATGCCAATTATTGGTACCTAAAAGTGTGTCATTAGAGGTGTCTCATATAAATTCACATTTATGTAAATGTAACCCATCACTTCTAGAGATTAAACTAGAAATATAATGTCAACTGAATTCGTCTTAAGATTTGAAAGAAAATCAGATCTACTCATCTAAATTTTCATGTTTTTATTATTTCTCAAACTACTGAAATTACATCCTAACATTTATAATTCAATCTGTAATTTGAAATTTTAAACAAAATAAAGTCCAAAACAACTAGCACTGCATGCATATACATTTATTGGTCCTAAATTTATAGTTTGTTTCCATCCATCCATTTGTTTGTACTCACATCTCTGTAAATATTAATTAGTTTTACTACTATAAACCTCAAGCTCTGGCTTTTCTCATTAAAAATTTCGATATATGTGAATTAATCTTCATCGGGTGTATTTAATTCTCCCAAGATATATCATGCTCTATTAAAATTATCAGTGTTTCAATGCACTAGTCAATACCTTGATGAAAACATCCAAACTAATTAACATGCAGTTCTATACAAAATTTATACGATTGAAAAGAAAAAAAAAATTAAAATAATGAAAAATAACCCGTTCCCCAAACTCAAATGAAGAAAAATTTCACCTTGATGCCGATATGGAGCTTGGTAACTTCATCCGATTCCTTTGCAGAAACTGATAAAATGAGCAAAAAAAGAAGGAAAAATAAAACATTGCATCATTAGAGTTAGATGTTAATTTATAAATAAAAAAACACAAAAAGATTAACCGGACATGAGAAGAAAATATTTGATAGAGGTTACAAAGAGTACCAATTGAGATTAACGCAGCAACAATTACAATGCAAAAGTGCAACTTCGTCATCGCTCTCCCTCTCTCCCTCTTTCTCTCTCTCTCTCTGATCTGTATATCAAACTTTAGCTTGCCTTGAGCATGTTTGCAATTTAGTCCCAAATGTTTTTATATTTGTTGAAGATGATAGAATGCAAGCCGAAATGGTGGCGTTCTGAAAATTAAGTTTTGCAAAACGTCACGGTTTTGTTTTTGCAGGGGGGGTGAATTTGACTCATCCTTTATTTCATTTGATCCTAGTTTTTCGAGAAGAAAAAAAAGTTCCTTTGACCAAATCACATAAGAAGTGAAATGATTAGATTCAGAATCTGCAAATTTTAAAATGTAATATGCTCGTTAAAAAAAATAAAGAAATATTTTATTTCCATCTTGTGCAAGATTATCTGGTGTCAATTGTACATGCACCCCGTGTACTAGAGATTTAGACAATGTTATATTCTATTATTGTTTAAACTCACGTGAGAATCATTATTAAAGGTAGATACCTGTCGAAAACATTACTACACAATCCACACCGAGTTTTAAAAATTAACCATAAAGTATTTTGATGGGTTTCCATGATCTAAAAGCTTTCAATATGGTGTTGCTAACCAAACAGAGTATGGAGGTTGGCCATAACCCGAGACTCGTTATTGTTTAAAGTTTTGAGTTTGAAGTATTTTCGAATGGCAATGTATCCAATGGACGATTGGGTTCTCGTCTCTCGTTCACATGGAGGAGCATATTTGCATCAATGGAAGTTGTTGACTTTGTTGGCTTGAATTTGGTCATGTTGGGCGCAGAGTCACGCCCACCGCCGCGGAAGCGATATCACCTGAGAGATAGCCCTGGCTTTTGTTGTCCCAAAAGCACAAGCCAACCTCTATATTCTTGTTTCTCGAAGGAAACTAGAATAGATAGTGAAATTCTTATTTCTCAAAGAAAACAAGAATCAAAAGTGATATATTTCATCAAAGTGAAATATACACTCTTCCTCTCATCAGCTCTAAGACCGAATATTGAGGGAACCTACAAGCAATAGCCAACAACCAGAAAACAATAAATACACAAGATTTACGTGGTTTGGCAAACTTGCCTACGTCCACGGGAGGGGTGAGGGGAGATTCCACTATGAGAAGAACACCGACGACTTGTACAACCCACAAGCTCGTCTTAAAGAAAAACGATCTGATTTTTACCCAAAAGAAATTGACCTCTCTTTTGTAAATCCCTCTTTTTCTCTCCTTAAAATCTCACTATTTTTCTCTCAAAAACAGCCGCCTAAATCCCTCTTCACCTTCTGCGTTTTTCCCCGCAGCCGAGTAAGCCCGACTGCCTTTTTTTTGCACCTTTTTCCCCACTGTAATTTTTCTCCCACACCGAAAACCTAGGAACGACATGGGATTTATAGGGGATACGTGGGCCAAGTTCGTGGGCCAGAAAACCACCTGCTGCGAACTCATGCAGCTGGGTGTTTCGCATACGTTGGTGGGCCCACGTCTCCACGAACTTCTCCACGAACTCAACGTGGGTGACCCCCACACACCTTACGTCTATTCACAGGCCAAACATCACGGGAGGTCGCTGTCAAGTTATCTCAACGCCGCTACTGAAGAAATTGTGGAAGGGAGGTCTCATCTTTATGTCACTTTCATGTGTTGTCCGCATCTCAATCAACCACTCCCTCTTTCCTTGTTTTGTCTCTGCATGTATTAAAGAAGGTCACACTTTTTTAAGTCATTTTATCACTTGTGGTCCCCTCCCCGATCAATCAATCACTGATTGATTTATTCAATCTCTATGTGAATTAAAAGGAAAGTGAGAGTGTAAGGCATAGTAGAGAAAAACACAAACACACGAGAGGTAGCCACACAACAAAAATGAGTTCTCAAATTTTGTATGAGTGTTGTAATTTAAGAAAGAAATATAGTGAATGACGCAGCGCGGAAGTGATAACATCGGAATCCACCAAGGGTGTTCTCTGAATCCACAAAGAACGATCTTCGAATCCACGAAGAACTTCGAATCCACGAAGAAAATATTGAGAAGAGAAACTTTATTGATGAAAAGTTATATTCTCCTTTGGGGTTACATAACTCTTCTTAAATAGAAAAACAAATAAGACTCCTAGTAAGACTAGAATTACAAAAATAGAAAGTATCAAATAAGACTCCTAGTAAGACTAGAATTACAAGAAAGAAAGAAAGTGTCAAATTCTATCCTAAAAAGACTCCTTATAATAGAGGAAACAAATCATGAATCAAAATTGATTTTATTTCCTAATCTAATCTGACTCTAAAATTGAATTTATTTCCTAATCTATATTTCCTAATCTAAATAGACTCCAACTCAGATTAAACGTCCTACATCAGTCTCCCCTTGTTGAAAGAAGCTCGACCCCGAGCTTATATTTGTTAGAATAGTAGCTTCATTGATAGATAATTTTCTTCTCTTACAACGATCAGCATCTGCCTTGTACTTAACATTAATTTTCTTCATCTGTTGTTTTGCCTCTTCAGCTAGGACTTCTTCTGACTCAAATTCTTGAATAAATCTTTCACACACCATGGTTACGTGTCTGACAGCATGTGGATCTGCAATTGACTTGAAAAGCTCTCAAAATATGTTCCATGTTGCTTCTCATATTCTAGTACTGAAAGTATCATCACCTTGAAATTATTAACAATATTTGCTTCCAAAGAAGAGAAACTCGCGTCATACTCCATACACAATTCTTTCATCTCCTTTGTCTCTAGCCCTCCACCAACCAATTCACACATACCATCAATTGCATCACTCTCTATTTTATTCTTCTCCTCTATCAGGACAACATCAATATGTGCAATATCACTCTCAACCACTTTAAGAATATCATGTGTATCATCCATCTTCACTATCATATCACCATCATGAATCTCATGCATATCAAGTGTTTGCTCCTTAGGAGGAATTTCGGTAGAGGCAGATTCTTCTTTTTTAGTTACAATCAAGTCACAGACTTCTTCAGATTGCTTCAAGTTTTCTGCTAAAGCATCGTTGTTTGTCACCAAGAATTCCTTCTTCTCAGTAGTCTTTATCTTAGGTGGCTCCTTTTCTGTAAGAGGCTTGAGCACAATTCATCGTCCATCTTTCCTGAAGATATAAACATTGTCTTTGCTCCTATGGGTAGCTCTGTTATTGAATTGTCATGGCCTACCTAAAAGCATATGACAAGTATCCATCTCGACCACATTGCACAACACATCATCAAAATAAGTTCGGCCAATGGAAAAACGTACCCTACACTTCTCATCGTTCTGCACAACATTGTCCATGCTAATCCAGTCGATCATGTAGAGAGGTGGGTGTTTCTCTATCTTCAGTCCTAACTTCTCCACCATACGCCGAGAGACAAGATTCTTGCTGCTGTGATGATCAATTATAACATTACAAATCTTCTACATCACGGTGCATCTCGTGCGAAAGATATTTTGCTCTAGAGATGGTTCTTCTTTCTTTATTGCTTCTTTACTACTCTTCTCAACTCTTATGTCTTGCTTAAGATCATTGCCCCTGTTGAATTTATCATATAGAGTCGGATCACGTCGTTGGCGACCATCAACGTGATTTTGAACTCCTACCTAGATGCTCTTCTATCGACGCAAGTCGCTCAAAAATAGTCTTCATCTGATTAAAATCGGCCTTCGACACGTCAAACTCAGTTCGAGAGTAAGGGGCTTCATCACCTGCCATCGGATCGGAGAAACAAGTCTCTGATACCAACTGACGCAGCGCGGAAGTGATAACCTCAGAATCCACCAAGGGTGTTCTTTGAATCCACAAAGAACGATCTTCGAATCCACGAAGAACTTCGAATCCACGAAGAAAATATTAAAAAGAGAAATTTTATTGATGAAAAGTTATATCTCCTTTGGGGTTACATGACTCTTCTTAAATAGAAAAACAAATAAGACTCCTAGTAAGACTAGAATTACAAAAATAAAAAGTATCAAATAAGACTCCTAGTAAAACTAGAATTACAAGAAAGAAAAAAAGTATCAAATTCTATCCTAAAAAGACTCCTTATAATAGAGGAAACAAATCATGAATCAAAATTGATTTTGTTTCCTAATCTAATTTGACTCTAAAATTAAATTTATTTCCTAATCTATATTTCCTAATCTAAATAGACTCCAACTCAGATTAAGCGTCCTACATCAGTGAAACACCCTCTTGCCGTGGACGTAGATCAAATTGATCGAACCACGTAAATATTATGTTTGTGAATGTCCTATTTTCTGGTTCTGTGTTCAATTATCCCAACAGAAGTATTAACTGTAAGGTCCAAATGAAGAATTGGGAATAGTAATAATGCTCAAATGTGAAATGATCATTGTATTCCCTTTTAAGATACAAACTCGAGGACTATTCTTCCTTCACAGGATCAAGAGTATTTTAAGGAGCAGGCACAGCAGCAGTGATCAATGTTCTGTCTTATACTTCCTTCAGCTTCAATTTTTTTTAGGTAGTTTATTTGTTCAGACTTTCCTTTTGAGACATGTGTGGCCTTTTCTGACTGTGATGTACTCCTTTCTCATTTCTACTATGGACCAATAGTTGAACTATGTCTATCTAGAGATCTCTTTACTTATAATCATATATCTCTTTGCCTATCTTAATTACATGTTCTGTAGTGTAGCTTCTTGTTATATATTTGTGTACAGGATGATCTAGAGACGTGAATGTGACCGTAAGTTTGCATCTTCATCCGAGTCATGTTCCAACTTATGTTGTCTTCGGAACCGGGGTGTGACAAGATTTTTATTGGAACCAATGAATACTCAAGATAGTTTGGGATGAAATGAAATGTCAGCTGAGGAACGAAATGTCAGCTGATATGATGTTCTGGAGTCATGAGGCTGAAAAATAATGAAATGCATACCCTTAGGATCGCTGAGGAACGAGGACAATTTGATATGGCACTATATGTCGAATGGATTTTTTTGTGAGGTCGGCATACCATCTGATAATGAGTAAATGCAGTGGAAGGAGAGGAAATAACGAACGAAGACAATCAAGTGAGTTCTCACCACCAGAGTGAAAATCTATGTGGACTTTAAAGCTTCCAA